AACACCACTCATTTATCATTAGTACACCACTCATTAGTACATACAGGTGTAAATGCAATCATAAAGTCAAAACTTTATTGGCATAATTGTCAGGCGTTTACAGTATTTGCAAAATATATGGTAGCATATACTATCAACTAGAAGTTGTTCCCTCAATAGGATCTCATGGCCACGACATATTATCACGTTCCCACGAATTAATATCTCGTGGCCACGACAAAACTAAACCAAAAAGACTCAAGCTTCATTTTTTTTTAAACTTAACCGTTACAGTCATTTCTTAATTTATGCCAGGAGTCAGTGGCATAACTTAGCAATGACGGGCCCCAGTGTAGGCTATTACAACGGGCCCCCTGGGGTGCACGGTTATGAAGCACATACAAACACACAGCGCTGCAGAACTTTTCTTTTTATTATTTTGCATATATATGTGGCATTATATTGACTCCATAAAGGGGCGTAACATTTCTGTCACACGCTTGAGGTATTCGGCCAATCACAACGCACTGGATAGCTGGCCAATCACAGCACACCTCGCTTTTCAGACTGATGAGCTTTGTAAAAATCTACGCGTTTCAGAAAGGCGGGGCATAGAGGAGAAACAATAATGTACAGTATGTGGAAAATAATGTGTTTTTTTAACCTTAAACTGCATAAACACATTTCATTACACCAAATACACAAAATAATGTTCTTTTTAGCAACCTCCTATGACCCCTTTAATAAAGTAATTGAAATAGTTACACTACTTATTACATTTTAAACAGGGCAACTTGTAATCTATAACCTATTACATTTCCTAAGTAATCTTCCCAACACTTTCTACAAGGTATTTGAGATGGCGTCGGGAGTCCCAAGATTTCCTCCAGGATCAATGGAAGGGGGGTTCCTCTGCTGGGCCAGGCTCTGTGGAAACAGAATAGGAGAGTGATAAGGCATGAAGAGTGAAACAGGGAAGGATGTTCCAAGTAGTAAGAGCAAGATTGCTATAACTAGTAGCAAGGGGAATTGGACAAATTAAGAGCAAGTCAAACAAGGTTATTGTAGCGCCACTTAAAGGTCCCCTGTAGTGCCTTGAAAAAAGCAGCGTTATTCTATGTGGTGACGTAATTTCAACTGAAACAGGAAGAGAGGGCGGGACATATCGAGCAGCCCCGCCCCCTTTTTAAAATATCCAATAGCGTTTTGTTTAAATTTCAACTGAAACAGGAAGAGAGGGCGGGACATATCGAGCAGCCCCGCCCCCTTTTTAAAATAGCCAATAGCGTTTTGTTTAAATCTGCTCGGGCCAGAGCCGTTGAGCTCGGTAAAGCCGCATTTGACAGCCACATTCTAATTGATTACCCCCTAGATTCAATATGAAACTCTTAGTAAAACAAAATAGTGGTCATAATCATGCTGAGGCTGTGTAGTTGTAAAAGTTTTTGATATATGCAGATATGATCCGCTCTGTGCGATCGCGTCTCTGGACCGGAGCCAAAGTCCGGATCAGACTGTGTGCGCTGCCGCGGTTCGCGTGAAACATTGTGAAACCAGACCTCACTTGCACCAATCGAAAGCATATTTACACCGTCTGAATCGTTCCCTATCACCTACATTGTGCACTACGAGCCATTCACTGTACAGGAAATACTACACTGTGAACAAGTGAGTGATCTCAGCCAGAGCTTCAGCGTCTATTCATAGTGCAGGAGGCGGGCGCTTCGGATTCTAGAGAGTATTTAATTGGTCAGAAGATTTGATGAGAAGCTGAAGTACGATGTGACGTTAAAAAAATCGTTGAGCCGTTTTGGTGGAAGAGACGAACTGCAAGCTTTGAATGCTTATATCTTCTAAATGCGAATTTTGTCACTGTTTTGGAGCACACTGCCTTATAGATAACCTTAAGACTAACATATTGATGCTAACACCCAAACAACTTTAATTTTGATTTCATGGGGACTTTAAGCATGGTAAACTCCACCATTATTTGCAGGGAGTTGGAACTGTTTTAGTACCTTGTTTTTATGGTCTTAAACATATTTATTTGCACACTTTGTCCATCTGCTTTAAATAAACACCTTTTTGGATGCCAACATCCCTCCCATGTTTACATCTCGATGTGATCCTCCTTGTGACCAACAGATCAACATACACTTTTAAAAATATAGGTTACAAAAGGGGGTTCTTGCAGTGACCATTTTTAGGTCTCCAAAGAACATTTTTGTGAATAGTTATTAAAATAACATTTTTTTTTTATTTGTGTGAAGAACATTTAAAAAAATAATCTTTTTTTTTTTTCACTATAAAGAACCTTTTGTGGAATGGAAAGGTTCCATAGATGTTTCTTCATAGAACCACAGATTCCAAAAATAACCTTTATACTTATGACAGCATGATGCATCACCCAGCACAACAAGCTTCTAAAACACACTTGTGAAAGTAAATACCCATATAATAATTAATCATTTAATTACATATTTTACCTTGAAAATATGCTATTATACTTAAATATGAAGGCCTCCGTGGTAATTGAAAACCAGTAGCAGTTGATCCCTATTTAAAGAGCTAATTTTCCAGTGCACTTGTACCTTTAGCAAGCTGTCTGACTAACGAAGTCAGGAATAGACAAGCATTCAACAGCTAGCCAAGGCCAAAAATATAAATGATAAAGCGTGTGTGTTTGGGCAGTTTTCATTAATACTAGATGCAGTTTAGATGACTGCGTGCAATTTCATATGGCAGTATGCTTTATCATCAGAGACCTAGAGGAGGATTTTTACTTTATTTCCTCTATAAATCTCTATTTACAGTTAGATTAAACATCATATACTAAATGCAAATCTGCTTAATCCAAGATGCTTGTGCAACATTTGTCAACTTCATCTTATGTGTTGATTATTTGGTTTTATTTGATAAGTAGAAGCATGCTAATAATGTGTAATAAATTAAAATAAAGTAATAAATAATGTGACATGCAACCAAAGTTCATTTTATTTTAAGAAAAGCATGCAAAAACACTTTATTTACACCTGTTTGCATCTGAAAAGCACCCATTTTGGGACCAGTGACTGCAAGATCCCTTTTGGAAAGTAATTTTAAAAAAAAGTTTGTGTAACGAGTTCATGCTCTTCTGTGTCTTCTTCAATGCATAGCATGATGTTACTACTACCAACTGAAAATTAACTGTTAACTGTTACATTCATGAGTATTTTTTTTTTTTAAATCAAGCGTAGTGTTAGTTCTGGCAGGTCACGTTAGTCAAGCTCGCATCAGCTGACCTTCAGCTGATCCCCATCTCCCTATGGGAATACGACACCTATCTAAGCATTCATATATAAGGTCCCTCAGTATTATCAGCAGTTTTCGCATTGCTCAATAGCTAATTACCCTCCTCCATCCCCAGCTCCTCCTCTGTCAGTCAGGATTCAGCCTTCTGTTTTATATATCCATTTGATATTTGACCTCTCAGACCACAAAACCGCTGCTTTGAAAAAAAAGATGTTTCTGAAAGTAATTTTCAGATGCACCGGGGGAAAAAAACGGGATAGACACAAACATGAAACTTGTAAATAGAATAATCTGATATATTGCCTATGTACAATTTAATAACATATAGCCTAGTTTGATATATGAATTGGGTGTTCGTCAAAGATTGCATGCGGTCGGAGATTCCCGTGTTTACAGCTCCATAAAATAACCTACTGGAAGCTCTGTCGTTTTGCTGTATAGGCCTATAGATAAATAGACATTATAAAACACATCGGCGAACACTTTAGCGGCTCTGTGTTTGATTAGCATGACTGGGTTCGTGTTTTGATTAAAGGAAGCTCATGAGTAAAGTGCTGACCATAAACGCTTTCCTGATTGCATCAAAGTCACGCGGAAGCATTAAAATAGGCCCTCGAACGTCCCCATTTATAGAGCCACAACCTAATGAACAAGCCATAACAAGAGTAAAGAGGTAAAACCGAACTAATCGCTAACATTTTAGCATACCTTTCAATAATAACATTACTACTGTATATCATTTTTAACAAATCATTATTTAACCAAAGACCTTATAAAAGTTATAAATTGTTCATATTTAGATATACTGTCATATGTATGCAAATTGCTTTACTTTTTTATTATTATTTTTTTTAAATAGTATAATTCATATTCATATTATGCAAGAATGTATTGATAGTTTAGAAAGAAGCATTCCTGGGACTTACCTTTTTAAGGTAAGTGGTGGCAAACAATTTATTTTAGCTACATTTAAATAAAAAAAAAATGTTAAAAGTTAGTCAACTACATTTGTTTATTTAAATGTAGCTAAAATACATTGAGTGCAACCACTTACCTTAAAACAATTAGTAAATTCAATTAATCATTTTTTTTCAGTGTGGTTAGTTCCTGTGATATGAACAGCCTTGGATTTGTTTTCAAAAAATAACTTTTTGCTATTTGAATAAAATGGTTAACGAATGAGACCTTATTGTAAAGTGTTACCTGCTTTAAAAAAATACAAAATAAATAAATTAGAGGTGCACTTAAAGGAAATTAATAGAGAATATTATGAATATAAATGCGATTGCGAAAACTCTCACATACTTTCTCAAACATGAAACAGAAATATTAATTTAATAAACTAATTCAATAAACAAATGCTATTGTGTTTGCTTGCCAATTGCAGTTTACTGTACATTTCAGATTTCAGTGACGTAGAATTATAGTATAAAAATATATAAAAATGTGGCCAGAAAAATAAACTTCCACATTTTAGTTACAAGTGACTAATTTCAAAGACATCTTTGCATATATCATATTCACTGTCAAATTCTTACATTTCTCAGTGTGAACATACCAATGTATTTATCATATACAATCATTCACCTTGATGTTTAATTTGTTTCAAAAACAACCTCTGTAAAATACTGTCCGTCAATTAAACCAATTAAAGTAAAAACAATGTGTAATGAACTTGTCAGAACACTTTCTTACAGGATAAAAATCCATCAACATTAAATGTAGTGGAATTTAAACTCAGTATTTTGTACACAAAATAATTAGTTTTACAATATATTACATAAAGATGCATGACACAAATATACACAAAAGATTTGGCAACAGCATTATCCATCCACACGGTAAAATGTGATCTTTCAGTCAGTGGAAAGTGAGGTAAAATGTCCCGCTTTTTATTTCATGTATTTTAAGACGTGAGTGAAGGCACATTATGAAATAGTGAATTAAATTTTTTGGTTGCTGCTTTTTTTCAGACTTGGACACCCAAGGTTTGTAAACATTGTCTTTCTGTACATCCACAGATCAGTACTAGTCCATACTGTAGCACTTCTTCTCAAGCGAGGTGATACATGCTGTACCCTAAAGGTGTTCTATAGAGTCCCACTGGAGCAACAGGCAATAAAGGCCTCTGGTAGGGATACGACTGGCCATAGAGTGAGACGGCCGAATGAAGTTGGGTTCCAAGAGGAAGAGGCAAACTGAAATTGGGGTGGAGGGCAGGTTTGGCAGTCAGTTTGAACTTTTCCAGCTCGGCCTCTTGCAAACGCTTGGCCTTGGCCCGTCGGTTCTGGAACCAGATCTTCACCTGTGTCTCTGTGAGGGTGAGGGAGCTGGAGAATTCTGCTCGCTCGGCAATGGACAGGTACTGTTTCTGTCTGAACTTTCGCTCCAAGGCCAGGAGCTGTGAGGTGGTGAATGGCGTACGGGGTTTACGGTTGGTCTTGTGCTTGCGGAGAGGACAGGCACTTACCTGGCCTGTGGTGGGAAAAGAAGTTAGTGTAGCAAAATGTAATCATGAATCAATTTCTTGTAGATTTTAGGTTGGTCAAAAATAGATTTTAAACTAATTTAATTATAGTGTTTTCATAGTTCAATAGTGTGTTCATAGAAGTAGTTTTACTTCGTTACTGTACTTAAGTACATTTTTCAAGTATCTGTACTTTACTGGAGTAGTTTTATTTTGAGTAACTTTTACTTTTACTTCACTACATTCCAAAGCATAAGATCGTACTTTTTACTTCACTACATTTCATAAAACTTATCGTTACTTCTTATAATATATATAATATCACATGCTCCGAGACGCAGAAGCGGTGTCTGATTCATGAACGAACTGATTATTTTCAATGAACCCGTTAAATCGGTTCGCAACAAGTACATCATGAATTAATCTTCCAAACCACGTTTTTGTCTTATTCCGAATCACTACGGTACACTTATAATAAGTACTTATATTTGGACTATTATAGCCTGGTCATACCTGCGTGAGTAGCTCCGGTTGGAATGTTCTTCCGCGGGATGTGTGCAGTTCTGTTTATACATAGTGCTGCTTTAAAAGTAAGTTACTAATGTCGAATTTTAGGGTTAATTATTGTAACTGAAAATCATATTTAGGTCAAAGCTGTCAGTTGTTTGTGAACTAAATCTGCTGTAAAGGGTGATCTGTTGGGTTGAAACAACCCAGCATTTTTTTAGAGTGTATTCATTATTTCCTTATTGGTTATTTTGGGGAAATCCCGGGTATTTTGAGCAGTATTTTAATTATAAAAAAGATATGCTAATATAAAATTAAATGATAAAAGTAGCCTATATAAAACTGCAAAATAAACATTCATCTATCACCTCTGCGATATTGTCATCTACTGTAGGCTATTCCGCTTAATTACAAACAAATGTATACTAGTGTTATGTTCTTAATTAAATCAGAGTTCTCCTAAATAAAACATGAAACTTCTTATGGCGTTATGTTTTCAGAGCAGTTGGCCCTCATGTGTCTCTAGTTTCCATTACATTTATACTTTCACAGAATATTAAGCATGAATTCGCTTTATCTGCAAATTGCCTAATACAAAGTAATCATGAAATATGATGTCGACTATGTATAAATTAAGAAGACAGCATTGACACTTTTTAGATCTCTTATAAGTTTCAATAAATGAGCCAAATTGCTCGTTTTAGGAAAGATAATTTTTATGACGATTATAGACCCTGTCGTAATTTATATTGTTTCATTTAAAGCATAAGCAGTTCGTTCAGAAAATTAAATTGCTTACGTGTTTGAGCGAATCTAGGGTTCATAACCCATGGTGTGCAGTCATCCGGCTCGGGGGACTCCGATTTGACGGGTGAGGTCTGCATAAAGTGCTTTTGTATTGCAGCCGAGCCATAAGAATCCCTGATCTCAGTCTTAGCAAACTGGCTGGATACATCCTCGCGCCGTCTTTCAAAGTCTTTACTGGTTTTGTGGCTAGATATAAGAGACTCGACGCTGAAAGGGTGGATTGACACTTGGGTTTTGCGCTGCTCCATGTCCCGATCTCCGTCTGATTCCTTCAAGCTCGCGGACGCGGACATCCTCGAGCTTCAGTCACTCTGACGTCTCATGAAAAAAGCATGAAGCCTTTGATGCCTTGAAGCACTCGGCCACAACAGAACTTTCAGCCAATCAGAGCGCTGCCAAATCAAGGCGCGCGCTCCGTTGCTCAGCAGCACACGGCGACGGGAGAACTTTTGACCAATGAGAACGCTGCTGAATTAGGCAGCGCGCTCTATTACTCGTGATTGGCTTACTGAGTTTGCAATAAAGTGTCCATCATTATAACTGACAAAATGACAGCGACAGATTTAGCGAAAGATTCTGGAATTTTGGTAAGTAAAGCTATGGATTCAATAGGAAACAAAGATAACAATATAGAGTAATACGTGAGTGTGTGAACTGCACATATTTATGGTGACGTGGATAAACTCTTAAAAAATGATTTGAGTTCGTTGTTTGTAGTTCTGTTAGTTCACACACTATTCCAACAAGCATAAATCCTCAGTGAATTAATTCTGTTGGTGTCAACAGGGTCATGACAATTCCCAAAATTCTTAATAAAGCAGATCGACAGTTTGTTAGACAGTTGTTTTTACCAACTACTGTGACAAATTATGCTGTTTTATCAGATTATCACTATAAATGTGGCATTTTTAAGTATGTTGGAAACAGTTACTTAAAAAAAAAAAAAATGCCTCGAGCATTTTGTTCCATTCTGTTGATCTGCTTCTGCTTTTAGCTTAAGTTGCTTAATGTCTTAAGTTGCCCGTTTATGTCTTACTGTAGTACCAGCATGTTTATTTTACTTAAAGGGGTCATATGATGCGATTTCAATTGTTCCTTTCTCTTTGGAACGTTACAATCTCTTGGTGCATAAAGAAGATCTGTAAAGTTGCAAAGACTAAAGTCTCAAATCCAAAGAGATATTCTTTATAAAAATTAAGAGTCAGCCATATCTACCTAAAATGGCTCATTCTAACAAGCCCCCACATATCTACGTCACTATGTGGGAAGAGTTGCATAACGCCGCGTAACTTTTATTCTCGCTGTAGTATTGTTGCCGCCGCTGCCATGTCGTGAAGGCGCTGTGTTTCGTTGTGAAAGCGAAACT